TTGCTGTTAACATTTAATACACCTGAGTTTTTTTTTCTTCTGTTGTAGCACCCCGGTTGATAGCCCTGCAGATCCAAACCGATATCCCCAACAACGTGCCCAAAACCGGGGTAATGCCGCAATGCTGAGCACCGGGGGCGAGATGATGTATCAGAATGCTACCAGGTCAGTGATTGGCGTCGCTCATTTTTAGTGGTGACTATTATCGTTGCCGCCAAACCCTACTGCCCAACTGCTTTTTGATTTAATTTTCACAGGACTCATTATGTATTTGTGTATTCGCATTGTACATTTATGGCGCTAAATTAGTGATTTCTATAGTGCATTTTGTTTAATTAAATTCAGCTGTCAAAAAAAAAGTGAAAAAAAAGGAGGGAAAAGGAAACTGGAAGGAAAAAGGTAGATATTTGTTAACAGCTTTTCCTTTCTTATAAGAATCTTTACGTATATTTGTGCAAAATTAGCCTTTTTCGTTTTATCAAAAACTCTCTAGACTTCCTGATAGTCCACCAATAACGGACATCAGTGGTGCTGCATCATCTGGTTCTCCTAGCTCAGCGTCTGATTCACCCTATTCACCGGAAACGTATCAGAACTATCAAGGTGATATTAGTGGAAGATTTTAAAAAATTTTTTGTTTCTTTTAACTTTTTTTTGCAATTAAGAATCAATCAAAAGGATAAAGCTTAATTTCTTATTTTTAGTAGTTCATAATCAACAAAATGGTAACGGTCTGATCCTGGGAGTTCATCCAGACTTGACAGCACAAATGTTAGTCCAAAACGAATTGATACCGCAAAACCACCGCATAGGGAACAGAATTTTGCAGCATACATTACCTTCACCTCAATCAGAGTATATGAGCAGTTATACTGCGCAGTCGACTCCTGCGACTCTCCCTCAAGTTCGTTTTTTTTTTTCAATAATTCTTTTTGAAAATCCTACTCAGTGTTTTTCTATTCTAGATGGATGTTTTTGGCATATTACAATTCTAGAGACAGAAACAACATTTAGCATAAGCCAACATACGTTTTTAGGTTTCGCCTTCGCCTATGAATCCTAGACAAATGAACAGTAATTACCCGATTCCAAATAATGGCTATCAGCTGGATGCCTATAACGGAATGATGCCGGTACCGAACGAAGCAATGCAGCAACACCAAGTTGCTGATGGACCAGCAAATCGCAAGCGAATGCGTCCTGAGCCGACTCCACTTCATGTTAAGAACGAGCCACAAAAGATTTATGCTCTACCGACCCAATTATCTATAGCTCCATCGCCGATTGCCACTGAAGATTTTGAGGATGGTTTTCATCAGAGGGCTATACGTTTCTCCCGTTTTATGGAGGAACAGTGGGCATCATTGTATGACTGTAATCGTACAAGGCTTGAACAGCTTGAGATGCATGTGGTTGCTGACAAAGGGTTTAACTACAGTAATATGGACAACTGTTTTGTCAACCAGAAAAAGAATCATTTTCAAGTAACGTATTAAGCAGATCCTACCGTTTCTCAATACAGATATTTTAAACAAGTCATTACTGACCGCTGTATTTTTAGATAACTGTTCATATTGAAGCGTTCGATAATCATCCACCTAATTATGTAAAAGTAGGTGATCGTTTGCTTCAAGTACGCGAGTTCAACCTAGTATTTCGTGGTGTCAGAAGTGAGATGTTGACATCAGAAATCGAAATAAAACAGTCAACAACTGACAGAAAACCAATTCCTCACGAACCTGTTAAGTATGTTTCAAATGTATTACTCTAAGTTCAGTGTCTCCAAAAATTTTAATTGAGCATATACCTAGACGTGGTTGTTAGAAAGTAGTAGGTACGAAAGACTTGTTTTGTAACTTTTTTTACTTTTAGGCTGGCAATACAAGAGCGACGCATGACTAAAGTGACAGTACATCGTTTACACTTTTCTGAAACAACTGCTAACAATCAGCGAAAAAATGGGCGTCCAAATCCAGATCAGAAATATTTTCTTTTAATTGTTAAACTGATAGCTAGGACTGATGGTGGCGAAGATCCTGTAGTGCAGGCATATCAATCAGAAAAAGTTATTGTCAGAGTAAGGATTCGTTATTTTGTTTTCCAAAAACAAAAATATTTTTATTTTGGGACCTCTTATTTCTGACTACTTTTTTTTCAGTCATCGATGCGAAGACTTCCCAAATCTTTTTTTTCAAAAAAATCTTCTTATAGGCATCGAATCCAGGCCAATTTGAACCACCGGATACGGATACGACATGGCAAAAGAGTGGTTCTACATTATATTATAATGGAGGTTTTGTTGCCATTGGGACTGATAAACCTGTAGCTTCATTAACTGTTGCTGGCGACATATTCTGTTCGGGTACTGTAAAACATGCGTCAGATCGTCGCGTGAAAGAGAATATTCACGAGGTTTGTATGTTTCCTGCTATTATTTTTAAGGCAAGGAGAAGAACCATTTCAATGGTTTTAGAGGAAACAAAGATGTTCAATTACAGATTGATACTAAAGATGCGTTGTCCCGTCTGGAAAAAATACGAGTTGTTGAGTACGCTTATAAACCAGAAATTGCTGATGAATGGGGACTGTCAGAAGAAAGTCGACATCGTGTCGGTGTGATTGCACAAGAGCTTGCTGAAATTCTACCTGAAGCTGTTACAGATAACGGAGATTTTCTGCAGGTTGGTCAGAAAAACTAAACTGAATTAAATTGCAAAATCTTTTTGCGAAACATTATTTTTTGTTGGACATCAATATACGTATAATTTTGTTGACCGGAACCAATTTTCGTTACAGTAAGTTGTAAAAAAGTGAGGTTGAAAATACGGGGAATAAATTTTTTTACCTATTTCATTGGACAGTAAAACGTTAATGTGCTTGGATATAATTTTTTACTGGATATTGTTAATTAAACGGCTGAAACAATTTAATGACTAAGGCACATTGTACTACTGACTTTAAAGATACAGCTGCCTGCTAAATGTAATATTTATCTTCTTGAAAGTCGCAAACTTTTAAGATTCTCATAATTTACTGTTCTTTACATATTTCAGCTTCTTTTAAGCTCTAAATTTTGGTACAGTAATTTCTTAGTAAGCTTAAAAAGTTATTATTTGTAATTATCATTTGGAATACTGTAAGAATTGATAAGTTTAGATAAGGGTTATCAAACTTTGTTTTAAAAGTTTATAACTAGAGCTCAATTCTTTTTAGTTTTATTTTTTATGCTACAATTTTTAATCAATTGATGAAATGACATTGAAACCGGAAGTACTGAGAAATTTTTGAAGTTAACCTTTTTAGGTCGATGACTCTCGAATCTTCTACGAAACTGTAGCTGCAGCTACAGAGTTATGCAAGTTGACCGGTAGCCTCGAAACAAAGATTACAGCTGTGGAGAAACTGTCCCATAAACTTGCAAAAATTCATAAGCAAAGATGCAAAGATGCTGGTAGTATTGCTAGCGGCCTTACAGAATTTGGTCTATCCGACAAAAGCACTTCTGCATCACGGATTTCACTAGCCTCTACGGCACCGTCTTGTGTGTCACACGACAAAAACCATAATCGGTTAGTAGTTATCTACGGTTTTCCAGTTGCTAACTGAGATTTTGTTGCGCAGCGTGGATGTATTCAGGTTGGAATTTACTGATGAATATGTTTTAGAAAGAAACGTGACCGGCGCGCTAGCATTAATAGTTATCATCAGTGTCACAGTCCGTCTTGTCATCATACTGAGCCGCCGTTATGCAGTTCTAAACTGACACAGTTTACCACTGTTGCACTGGTTATTGTCATGGCCATTTGGTAGGCCTTTTGAACCCTTTTTTTTTTTTGAAGTTTTTTTAGAAGTTACTGTCAATCTAATATGAATTTTTTTTGGACGTGTAGAGAATTTAACAGAAAAATCATTTTGCTTCTTAAATACACACTTAACTTTTAGTTTTTCAAATCCATTTTATTGTTGCTATAATATTATACGGGAATGCTGGATTTCTGACAATTGTTGTTAGTTTTTAGCTTGTTGGCTATGTCAACTCTTTACGTGCTTGACTGGCATAGGCGCAACTCAGGATACTACAATTATTTGCGTAATATAACAGATTCTGGTGAAGAAGATCCAGGACTGTCATTTATTTTCAAACCCAATGAACCGTATAAGGCACCAGATCATTCGAAAGCACCACCTTTAACTGCATATTGTGGCTCTGAACATTGTCGTATGTACTGTTGTGCCGATGTGACGTCAACTGATCTTGATAAGAATGACACTAATGAGGTGATAATATTTGCATTTGACACTGGGTTCATGCTTCTTTTGGTTTTAAAAGTAACGCATACTGAAACTTTCAGCAGTGGATTCTAGGCAATGTTAATAAATTAAAATTAATTTCAGCCTGGAGGTGGGTTGTCGTCATCTTTATTGGGCGAAGCAGCATTAGCTTTACCGCGGTACAGTTCTTATGTGCCGCACGAGCCTGATTTACATCCCTCAGCAAATGTGCGGTCACCTCTACCGTCTGGAGTCACATTTGAGGTGGTTAATTTGAATGTAACACTGGATGCTCGTTACTGCCTGAATACCAGTTGTAGTAGTCGGCGTGGATCTTACACACTTTATATACCGATAACACCATATCTTCCAACAATTTCCCTGGAAGTTAAAATCAGGTAGGAAGAAAAACAAATTTCTTTGTTGTAAAACTGCGACGTTTTAAATCACAATTTGTTGGCATTGATACATCCTGTTTAGTGTGCCTGACAGCAGACAGTACATTGCAAATTGTGGTGTCAAATATCCCAGAAAGTGTAAATTTAATGACAGTTATTCACAGGAGGAAGCTGTTTCATACATGGTCAGTTTTAAACTTTCGTCATTACATCTTTTGATATAGCATTATAAGGGCAGAAAACAAATCAGTTTAACATTTATAAAAACGGTGATTGATAGTGCCAAATCAGATATGCTCTTACCAACGATGTATTCAGTTATATGCAAAAATTTTAGCTCACTGATGGTGTCTATGAATTACCAGTTGGTAACTATGTTCATATACTGCATTGTTTCCGTATCGGACATACAGCAGATTCTTGTAACGCTAATGAAGCCCAAAAAGGGCGTAGCTACGATGAGTATAATTTGGTTTTCTATCGACTCTGTAAGGATGTGCAGATGTCGGAGGAAAATGAAACTTCCAAATCAGGTGATTCTGTTTCTGGAAGAAACAAACCAGGCTTTTTAAATACTCACGGTGTTGTACCTCATGGTTTGTTGCAAAGTATATAATAATATGAAGAAAACATTGTCATTCATTGTTCTTTGAAGATTGTTGCTGATTAAAATTCACTGTATTTTTTTTTCGTGTTCTTTATAGGTTTCATCTGTATCTTTGTTTTAGGTACCATTTCATCAACTTCTTTTTTCTTTTTTTATATACCTTCCCTTATTAACGCTGTGTTCTTTATTTTAAATTTTGTTTTATCTGATTTTTCTTGTTCTACTTTTTTTTGTGTTTCTTCGTCATTTCCAAATCTCAAAGGTCCGTCGACAATATGCAAATTAGTAGAGTCTTTAACAGCTCTTCAATTTTTGTTTTTTTGTTTTTTTAGGATTGAATTAATTTAGATTATTTGTATATATACTATATATATATTTATATTTATTTATGTAGAGAGCTAGAGGATAGGTACAACAAAATTTTTTTTTCATTTTTTTGTTTTGTTATCTTATCTCTTCTTTTTTTTCTTTTTTTTTTCTTTTGCTCTGCTTTGCTTTGATCTGTCACTTTTTTGCAAGACGAATGTAGTAGAAGTATTCATCTTTTTTTGGAGGGGCATTCATTTAGATGACTGACTGACTAGTTAGTGAACTAACAGACTGAATAAGCGATGGCTACTGCGATCTACCCAAAAAACAACCCGTTGTACAGTGCTCCGAACAACCTCTTTCATCTGTCATATTTTCAGTTATTTTTGTAGTGTTCACTGAAAACAAACATGCAGTCTTTCAGTCAACTGACTAATCAACTAACTAATTTTCACTGATCAGCTAACTAACTAATTGCTGTAGCTCTAAGAATAAATGAATGTTTTTTGTTTTTTTTTTCAAATATAATTGTGTTGTTTTATGAGTTTACGTGTATTTTTCCCATTTTCTGTTCTCTCCACTTTTTTACATTTTCCATCCTCAATTGTTGTAAGTATTTTTTAGAAGTAAAACAATACAAAACAAAAAAGAGAAAAAGTTTTTGAAAGAAAAAAAATACTTGTATTTTCCTAATCACAGTGATATCTGTAATTGCGCGGTCTCTTTCTGTTTGTTATCATTGTTATCATTGTTTTTATCTTTATCATTATTACAGTTATTTTAATCTTCTCTCTTCTGCCCTGTTTTTATTATCAAAACTCAATTTTTGGTTTCTTCTTTTTTTTCTTTTTTTTCTCTTTGCAACACTGTAATTTACACATTGTTTAGGTTATGGTAATTTGGTTGATACAATTAGTGGAAATGAATACTAATCAAAAATTTTTCGCTTGTCTATGGTGTTTTATTTTTCGTATTTGTTGTTCATGTCTCATCTCTCCTACAGTTTAGTTTAGACAGCATCTCAAGCAGGCAGGTGTCTTTTAGGGTTAGCTGTTTAGCAGATTTATTAGAGCAAGAAAAAAAAATGAACATGTTGAAAACAACATAAACAGATATTGTCGATCAAATAATGATCGTCGATCAACAAAATAATTATAGCTTTAAAAAATATTTTATTCTTTTTTCCTCATTTTTTTCTTTGCTTTCTGTCATTTAAACAACAGCATTGCAGTAATTGCGTTGTTTTACGTCTGCTGTCTACTTCACTGGGAGGTTTTTTCTTCATTTTGTCCACTTCGACATCATTTTATCAATTTATATAACTATTTGTATTTACTGCCACTGTTGAAGTTTTCTGTAAATTTTGTTTTTTTTCTCTTTGCTGGTAAAAAATAAGCGGAAGAAAATAAGCTGTTATCAGGATGCCTTGGTTAAAACTGTTTACAAACAATTTATTTATGTTGCAAATGATATGTGTAAATAAATTTGATTTTTAATTTATTGCTGACTGTATACAAACAAGGGAGTAAAATTTGAATACATTACATTATAAAGCTGTTGAAATTCTTATAACAACGGCAACTGAAGGAAGAAGTTTGTATGATAGGCAATGAGATTATCGTCAGAAGCGTTATACTGTACACAGGTTATAGTTAGTTACCAGTTTAACATCGGCAAAAAGTTCCGCAGTTAATTGGGATACAGTCTATACAGAAATTTCTCACTCAAAAGGTCTTTGATGCTTCAGTAAAGTTATTTAACTTTTTCAAAAGGCAGTCTGATTGTTTAGATGACAATGAATTTTTTCACGCATATTGTTCTTACATCTGAATATTCGTGCTCGAACACTGCTGCTCTAAAAGCGTTAGAATTAACGGTGCCCACTTCTTCTAATACCACTGTTGCAGGCGGCGGTTTAAGGATCTGAGTTAGACCAGTGTTGCCATGTTTTTGTGGTGTAAATTTTAAGACGATAAAAAACTAGGCTTCAATTCTCTGTGTAAAAATGAACAGTTAAAAAAATAAATGGTTTTCAAAAAGCGGTGGCATTGAGTTATACGTCCGCTTCTAAGTCATTTGAATTGAGAGAGAAGGCTGCTATAAATAGTATTTTTTATTGGTTTCCTGCGCTTATCTCTAAATTTTTTGACCTCTTCAGAGTTCGTCAACATCTCCTAGGTACTCGTCCGCGATGAAACTAAAGAAGTTGCACCTACAGTTCACCAACTAATCGCGAAACTTGTCTATTCTGTAGTTCAATTGTACATTTATCCTCCTCAACAGATACAAATCTACTTTCCTGCCCGACCCAACAATTTTGAAGGTTGATTTAATTGAAATTTTAGAGAATTATCTTCAGCTAATTCAAAAATCTCTTCTGCTGTCAAACACACGTCATAAAAAACGGACGTGTGGGCTTTGCTGTCTGATACAAAATACGCTTTCCCTTCACTTTCAGCAGTTTTGTTTTGTCTACAAAAATTACCTATTAAACTTTTTTCGTAAATTCAAATGAAAGCTAAATTTAACTATAAATTAACGATCGGTAAAACTTTTTAGCATTACGTACAATTCCTCACAAACCGTCCCAAATCATATACTTCACAGTGTTGTTTTTTTCCTTCTCAAGAAACTTAATTAAAGCTTACATGAAAAAGCAATTACTCAAGAAAACTGCTTAACAGTTTATCGGGAATGCAAGCCCTTGTCTCGATCCATCCTTCTTTTCATTCTCACACGTGCAGCCACTAAGCAAATCATGTAACATTTCCTACATTAATTTCTACTTCCTTAGTCTAACGAGTTCTTACTGCCCTTGAAAGATTCTGCGGTAGTTTGCGCTAGACTGTTTTCTGCTTTATGCGGTGTGCCACTACAACACTCACACAGATTAAGTACTTTTCCTTAATCACAAACTTGATTCAACCTTCTTTCCTCGTCCATTTAATTTTACTATTAGCTACCAACACCCAGCTTAAAGTTTCACTTGGTTTCTTTTTTGTCTCTTCATTCAAATTCACTTCATAACTGGAAAGCTTCTTAGCGGGAGATCAGTGTTGTACAAGCACCGTTGAGAAAGCGTAACGACTCAATTTGCTTGAGCTAGCTTCAACTGTTTTATTCCCTCTTCTTAAGAAGTCATCAAATGATCTGTTTTTATACGGGAGAGTCGTAAATTGGTCAAAAATCCATAGTAATGATGACTAACGCCAGGTCATCAAACAGCACTTTATTTTAGATACGCTGCATAAGCCAAAATGGCAGGGTACTAAACTTAGCCACATTACAAAAACCGTCAAAATAATACTTCATTTTCAAGGGAACACACGAAAATGAAGTTTACTGGCAGTAAGACGAGAGAATTGTGAAATAACCGTTCACTAAGCAATTTTCATCATTGCAAAACACCAGTGTCAGTTTAAAAAAACTTTTTCTCCTCAACAACTGACAGATTCTACGCTAATACTTAAAGAGACTGGAAACAGATTTCTCAAGTGAATATGCTAAATCTGGATTTACCACTTTTGCAGCTTTTTAATTTTCACAATAAAACACTTCGTTTTGGTCCCAGCTTCTTTGTTATCGCGTCCCCAAAGTTATGACAAGCTACATTATTCAACTTTGCCGACAACGTCACTAATTCTCAGGCATAAGCTTCTCCAGTGCTATTCTAAAATCCCAAGTTTCGTAACCCGACTGTCATTAGCTAAGTAGACTAATGACACCCTTAAGCCTCCAGGACCTCACACAAATAATTTCAATATTTTGTAGCTGCCCGCTGGACTTTGTCGATTCGGGAAACTTCACTTCGTTCTGCTTCAGAAGACGGCGTTCAAGCGCAGAGGAAGATCATTAAGTTGTGGGAACTGCAGCAATTCTTGAAGCAAATATCATTCCGAATACAGAGGAAAAAACTCCTCCACAACAAATAGTCACCTGAGCAACACCAGTTGATTGAGCGTCGCCGATGCAGCGGACGGCCAACTTTCTTGGCTTAATGACTATTAGACCGTTTGGAATTGTATCCGTAATACATTAAGCGATTCACAAGTGTCAGCCAGCCTTAGCGTTTCTAATCTTCGTACTAATAAATCTCAAGGAAGGCTGCTCAGCCTACAAAGCAGACTTCCTTAGTTAGAAGACGAAATACTAAAAAAATGAAATTATTCTACCGTTATCACGACTTCCTACTGCAAAACATTTATAAATAACTGGGAAGACATTTAAGAAAAAAACAAATAATTTAAATTATGGGAGCCTATAGAATCCCTACTGAAGCTTCCTAATATGCGAAGGTTAAAACACCGCACACCCCGACCTCAGTACCGACGGAGTCCAGTCCCTCAAGTAAATTTTGCAATTGTTCTGTTTCCCCTAATTCTTTGCCTTAAGTCCATCTCAACGTCTATCTGTACCAAAATAACGGCCCTGGGGCGAATTTTACAGTTTGCCTACCTGACTAAACATCCAATAGACTTTGGCTAGACGCATACGCATCTAATACAATTTTAAACGTGTTTCTTATGTCAAATGAGTCTTTCGCCTGCGAACGTAGTAAATATATTAACAATTGTAATTTGAACTACAAAATGTAAAAAGCAAAATCGGCGACGATTCATCTCCCAACAACGGCTGTTTACAAAAAAACCATTTTTACAACTGAATCCACCATTCAAGCACTTAAGGTCCAGTACATATATTTCCTGTAAATTTCATGTAATTCTGGACATGAAGAACCGCATCGACCATATTGCCATATTGCCATATTGCCATATTGCCGTTAACTACAAAAGTAATTCTAGCAAATGAAATGCAAGTTCCGGAGACTCCTTTTTTGAAGAACTCCAATTTTCCGACTTCAATACCGGAGCCATGTTCTGCGACAAATAACAAGCACAAGTCTGAAACGGTATGCCGCAGTGCAAAAACTACATGTGAATAAGGTTCCCAGGCATTATGCTTCTGATTATAATGATACAAGTTCCAGCAAAAATACCTTTAATAACGGGAAGGATGAATACATATCGGCGAGCAAAGCAGTTGAGGCAAGAACTCGTAGGGTGTGGCTGTCACTAACATACTAGTTTCTTTAATAGTATTTTAAATGCATAGCCAAACAGCTGTCATTAGGTAATTAAACTTGAGGCCTTCGCGCTGGCAATCTTACAGGAGTCATACTAAAACCGCCTTTGTCCTCGAGTAACCGCAAGTTGTTTATCTCCTTCTACATAACTAACTTTTACTTTTTTCCGAAAGGAATGTTGGGTTATGCTGCGGAGTTAATCTTGGTTTGGTTCATGAGACAGTCTTTGCCTACAGAGCGGTATCTTTACTTCGTGGGAAGTGCGGGCGAAATACTGAATTAGATAACGGTTTGAGTAGAAGTAAAGGGAAAAAAAACCTAACTTAAGTCGATCTGGGCGTGCTTATTGGTTCCGCATTAGTGGTGGGGAGAGTGACTGATTTTCCTGGCTTGCTAACCATTAGGCGCAATACAGTCTCCTAATCACAGTATATGTCCCAGCTTGAAAAAACAAACTTTTTTCGGACTAGCGGAAAAGTTTTCTGCTCCATCCGTCGCAGCTGCGCAAAAAGACTGTGGACGTTGCAAGGCAGATTCTTATAAGCGGTGAGAGTATAGAAATTGAAAAGTATCATATTACTATGAATTTTAAACGCGAAACTTGATTGCGTACATAAAGCGTGGAGAATGAGATTGATAAAAAAAAGCAAGAAATTGACAGAATTGAGACCATGAAACTTCACCGAGTGCTTTCCATTGCATGCATTAAGTTGAAGCACTATGCATTTTTATCTGGGTATTTCGAAGTTAGGAAGGTGAGGTATAAGGTCAGGTTTCTGGTTATTCCGCTCTGAGTTACTCTTTCGTTACCTGTAATGCCTCTATGTGCCGAGATATTGGAAATTTCATTATTTCATTATTTAGATCAACATTAAAGAGCTGCGCTGTTGTATTATTTTTTAATAAAAGTGATTTTTAAACATTTTTCTCTTGGAAAGTAACAGTTTTCCTGGAAATGTAGGAACCAGCGTTTATGGCTGCAGCTTTGACTGTAAATTTTATTTAAAAAAAAAAAACTACGTTATTTTTGTCGTTGGCGACAGTTGTCGTATGCCTAGTATAAATAATATACGAGAATAATTCGGAAGAATACTTATAGGGTTAAGGAGAAGAAATAATTGAGATGATTAAATAAGAAGAATAATCTTTAAAAAAGCAGATTGAGCAGAATATTCTCAAAAATAAACCGAGAAGAATAATTTGCAAGAACAGTTGAAAAAAATTATTCAGACGGAAGAGCGAAGGGGTAATTAGAGAGGTTAATTTGAGGTGTTACTGTTGGGAATAATTAAAAAGAGTAATTGAGGAGAATGATCTAAAAGGATAATTAAGAATACCAAGAAATATCAATAATTTGAGAAATGAAAGAAGGAATTCTTTATTGTTCTCAGTTATTCTCCATAATTGTCCCTAGCTGCTTCCACAACTGCCGACGAACTTTTCAGATCAGGTCTTTACTTTAGACGCATCTTCATGAAAATCTTATCTCTGTCCATTGTTTGCTGTAAAGGTTGTGGTTGCGAACATTTCCAGTACCAGTGTAGTTCTCTGCAAACACTTGTACATTTATATTTATGCTGGTTCTACTGATGGAGAATAAAAAAGCTGTTGTGCGAGTGATCTTTATATGATAGCCATTTATTGTCTGGATGACCTATGTATTAGAGTTCGGCATGTAGCCAAGATGAGACGATACAATTTTGTGGAAAGTATTCAGGTACCGGTCAGTTAATCTAATTTCTTTGTCACTTGTAAAGTTTTCTAACCTCTGCATGTGCTAAGAATAACAAAACCGTTAAGAAATTTCACTACGGTAGTTAACATTCAACAGATTTTTAACCGGTAACATCTCAATTTAATATGCTTTCTGAGCGTTTTGTTACAAATTAAGTTTCTTTTACAAACATGGGAGCAGTGTTTACAAATGTAATCTGGATTATCAAAATTATGAGGAAAAACTATGCCAATTGTTTTGCCGGTAAGAACTGTTCGGTAAAAAAAAAGTCTTGTAGTCCAATCCGGTGTCCAAACGCTTAAGGTCGAATAAATATATTTGTTTTAACTTTATACACGAATAATGGCAATGACCAATAACACTGCTGGTAATCATAAGGATAACTCCAACAAACGAATTGCAAGTTCTGGGGATTCCTTTTTGAAAGCGTCCCAATTCTTAGATCTAAGCACCGAAGTCCTGTTCTCTGACAGATAACGAGCACACCTCTGGAATAATATTACACAGCATAAAAAATTGTGTATGGGCAAACGTTATAGGCGCAGTTTTTCTGAATATAATCATTCGACTTTTAGGAAAAATACCTTTAATAACGGAATGGATGAATACATATCGGCGAGCAAGGCAGTTGAGGCAAGATTTGCAGTACTGATCTTTGAAGCCAAGTACAAACCGCAGAACTCCTTCAATGGTTTAATTGCATACTTTTCCGCAAGTGATAAAACCTCTTCAACGTGAGAAGTAACGTTTGTGGTGGATCCGCTGTAGATGTATTCAAGCATCGCTTTTACCTGAAAATACTTGAATTATTATGAAAATTCCGTGTTTGAAAGTTGCAGCTACACTGCTTTAATGTTGTTTTCATTATTTCTGCACTCCTTAATTGTAGTCAGTAGTGAAGCGTTTACAGAGATGGTGACAGAAAACATTCCTGAACGTCTTCCAAATGGACACTTTTCATTTGATAAGTGGTCACGTATATTGTTCATTAAAATTTCGGAGTTGGAAAGTGCAGAGAAATGAAAATCAATGAGCTTAGGTTCATTAAACAATACATCAAGATAGCTTGACTGCTGAATAATATAAGCGGACTGACAATGGGTCAACAAAGTGAGCAACCATTTTTGACTCCGCTAGAAAATCTGCTTGATGAGGTTATTGCTTTACGGTTAGATTTTTTGCACAGGCAAGTTCTGCATGCTTTGGCGTGATGTAAGTCTTGTGCCCGAGCAGTTGCTGAATTTACGCTTACCGAATATGTAGTTGCTATTTATGCTTCACGTAGACTGTTTCACACCAAAAGGTTTTTGTCGGTTAGCATCCTTCTAGCTGATTTTGGCACGATGTAGCAGACTACGCTTTTCATTAAGTGTACTTTAAAAAACCAGAGAGAGATTTTTTATAGATTTGCAAAAAAGCGTCTTTGCAGCTTTTGCTGCATCGATTTTCTTAATTTACTGAACATTTGGTTCCAAAGGTTTTTTCTTTTTCCAATCATATCTTTATGTGCCGAAAATTACGTATTTGGGAAAAACAAACTTTACTGGTAAAATGTACAAGATTTGGAAGGAGTTATTTTCTTGCAAAACTTTCAGGTCTTTATCAGCTAATTGATAGTCTTGCAATACTAAGACTCTTTTGAAGACTGTTACTTTAGGCTTCTGATCACATATCAGCGCGATGACAAAATCAATTTTTTTCACTCTTATAACCATCAATTGTCATGAAATAGTCAGTAGGTTTGCGGAGAAGGCAAAAGCTTTTTAGATATTTTTATATGCATTTGTAAGTGAGTGCCTACTTCAAAGTAGTCATCTTACGACAAGTTTTAGTATGTAAGAGAGAGGTTTCTAGAATGATAGTTGCAATTTATCATAGTTACTACTTCTTAATCAAACTCACTGATTGGTAGTCGAAATCAGTTATCTCTATAACACCTCGTTCCGCTTCCAGCATCGTTTCCTGGTTAAACATGGCTCGGAATACTTCACTGTGTTGCGTCAGAAAACACCTGTGAGCCTTGATTTCACGATCGCCAACCTTAAGCTTATTCTTGTGATTTTTTTAAAGAAAAGTTAATCCAGTCGGTTACACCTAGAAGTTAACCTCTTAAATAGTGTTTTAATGAAACGTTTACTTGTTAGCTGCAGTATTAAAATGGCACAACTTGTACTGTAGTACGAAGAGTTATAAACAGGTAACCTTAAATACACAATCGCTGCAGTTTCCAGATTCTAAGATTTCCAAATTCGATCGAGCTACTGACTTGCCCTCTTCATTTACATTGCAGAAGATTGGCTCTTGTTCAGGATCTGCGCACCCTTGCGGGCAGAATTCAATTTCACAAAATACGGTGAAGAAGGGTGAAGAAGTTATTTTGTTGAGATCTAACTGGAATGAAGCAAAAACTGGATTTTATACTTACATTTTTTGAAAGAATCAATTTTCTATAACTGTTGATTTTCAAACAACAGGTCACTTACCGGGTCAAGTTCCCTGACGTCTTTTGAAATATCAATTTTAGCGTGAATAACAGAAATTCGATTACCCGCAAGTTCACCATTCCCACACCCTTGAATAAATATGTTACAGATTGCTCGAATCTGAAATAAACTCAGGAAAGGACGAAGTGGCCAGAGTTATTTCAACAATAAAGAAAACTTTTCTGCTTTTGCATTGACGTCTCAAGTTGCTGAACGTAAAAAGCTTTTGCTTTTCATTATTAACATACAATGGAGTAGGAACAAGAACAGTGGTGGAGGCAGAAATAGCACTGTTTAGAATTCGACATCCCGGAATCATACAAGGACATCTCAAAGTCTATGCCCGCACATCCAAATTTGGAACTTCTTAAAGGTCGGTTTTTTTCGAAGAGGCACCGCTTCTCGGCAAACTGCAAAAAGCAGCTGCGGTACAGACCAATTCGCTGTAGGGGATTATTCAACTTTGTTTTATCTTTCAATTCTTGGACTAAAAAAACTATAAATTTCAGCTAAAATCTTATTAGCTAAAACACTGAGCCTTCGCTGCAGCTGTTCAACAAGAAATTATAGTGATCAGAACTTTTAAATACTACCGACACATAGAGCCAGCTATTTTCAACCATAAATTTTTTAAGCTAAAACGTTCAGGACGTTTGATTCCTCTGATGGTAAACAGCATCGAAAGGAAAAATTTACATTTTCAATTCGCCACTCCAATTGAGCCTTAAAAGTTTTCACCCGCGTTGTTTGCTTTGACATTGGAAGGAATCCTAAATTTCAAATTTTAGAAAATTTTACTTACCACTGCTGTATGTTTTAAGAGTGTTTCGAATATTCTGCAGCAATCTCCAACGATACCTTAGTTTTAAACAAAACTGTAAAACTTTAAGTTTATATGTGCTTAACTGAGCTTGTAAGAAACCATTTTGTTTTGCTTATCAGCATTAATATCATACATCGGCAAGCGCAGTCTTCAAAAAAATGATAGAGTGATATCGCAGAAGTTGTGTTAAAGATCAGATTAAGCCATTAGTCAAATAACTGCCTAAGGGTAAAGTATTTCAACAGAAAGTCTGCAGCAATATGACACATATCAAAAAGCAGGAAGTTAACAAATTTTACTTTATCGCCTGCAGTTCTATCGGAAACCTTTGCTTTCAGAACAGTTTTTTATTACATTTCAACAAACGAATAAGAGCAGAAAAAAGTATTACGAAAGAGCGCGGCGAGGTGAAACGAATATCTGATATTGCAAAAGAAATTAGTTAGAGTGAAAAAAAACTTGATATTTTTTCAGGAATACCGGCAAAGAGACATAGAGCTAAAAACGGTCGCTGCTTATTAAACTTAATCAGGAAATATCACTTTGCCGTTAATGCAACAAAAATGTGTATAAACGACATACGTGAACCATATAGTAAGAAAGCTAATGCTTTCCGATAAGCCAGAGTATAGGTGCTAAAATAGAAATATCAAGCCAATCCCAACAAGTTCAGACTTCAGAAGCAGTATCAGATGAAAAAGACCTATTTGCATGAAAAGTAACTGCGAAAAGTTTTGTTGATTTTTTATGTATTAATTTTTTTCTTGTCGGTCACTCTGAGACTTATTTTTTATTCTGCAAATAATTTTTATAGAAGTAGTCACTGAAACAGTGTTCAGACATCTATTATTGCTTAATTAGGTCATTTGTGACATACAGCAATGTTAGACAAAAAGGAGTCGAAAAAGACTGTGCTAATTTATAAACTCAAAAAAAAGAAAAGAAAGAGGTGAAATAATGATGGTTAATAATTGACTGAGTAGTGAATAATAGTTTAGGTAGATGTAGTTCTGCGTGTTTTTGGAACAGTTATACCTTGGCTGGTCGACTAAGGGAACGGAAAGATTAGGCAGTGAACCGAATTGGATTAAACAGCGATTGTTCCAAAAATGTGACTCACATAACCTTGGACAATAGGCATCCAAAAGAAAAATCAGTGAACAGAAAACTTTTCAATGACAGAATATCGTTGGAAATAAGTTGTTTTCTTTTTTTTGTAACAGATTATTGAGCTCCCGAAACGACGACTGATTAACAAAGATGAGAGATCAAGTAACAACAACTGAACAGATGATAACAGCGGTTTGGTGTAACGTCACTGCTTTGATGATACATCAGCTTTAGCGCAATTTTTTTTTCATCTTTATTCACCTTCAATCTTAAAAGAATTAATTAAATTTTTTCAAAATTTAATTAAAAAACAAAAAGACAAATTTCAACAGACAAAAAAATTAATCTTTTTTTTCCTGTTTTTTTGTTTTCTGATAAACCAAAACATTTAATATTAATTACACATTCTTTTTTATTTTTTGGATCAAAAATAATACTGCACAAATAGCACAGTATCAACACTCAGATTTATACAACAGAAAAAAATTTCTCGCATCAACAATATTAGCGTAGTTAAAGTATAAGGTTTTTTCTTTGTAAATAAATTGTTAATCGGATAAAACAGTAAACAGCATCAAGCAAGCAGAAAACAAGGAAAGTAAAATTTTTTCAGTTTATAGCTTCAATGCTAAAATAGACTTATATAAAAAAAAAAAACTATACAGCTTAACGAAGAAACCAAATTACTTGCAAATCAAAAATGAGATAAGTTGAAGCCAATTCTATCGTAAGTCATTATCAGTTTTGATAGTGCTGAAAAAAATGTTAAGACGTCACTTCTTCTTTTTTGATGATCACTGAAAAACAACATCTTAGCTGTTCAAAGTTATTCGTAAAATTCCACTCCACTGCCAATTTTTTATATAAATTTGCAAAATTTCTATCTATCAAAAATTACAATTTTCAATATTTAGAACAAAAAAGAGAAAAGGTTTTATATCTAAAAAAGTAAAAAAAAAAAAAAAAAAAAAAAAAAAAAAA